AGCCAAACCCATGCACTTGCCAAACAAAACTTAGCTGCTACACCTTTATAGGAGGACACCCTGATCACCTGGGTTCCCTCAGGAGGTAGACTGAGGCAGGGGTACAGGGAGGAGGACATGTGCACCAGGGGCCCACTCACCGGTCAGAGGAGGCAGGTGTCCATTCATTCATATACACAGGAGGGCCGGCTGGGCTTGCTCCATAGGTTTAATGACCAGATGGACACATTACTCTTGACTGCAGTTAATTCTTAGATGTAGGGGAAAAAAGCTTGCTAATATCTTTCCCTTTGCCTCCTTTTTATAATATTCTATTTTAAAATACTCTATTGATTTTCTCTCTGTAAGCTGTCTGAAACATATTTTGGAACAAAGTGGATATTGAGGGGGGGGAAAAGGAAAGAAAATTATAGTCTGTTAGTTTTTAAAGAGAAAATCATCTGAATCTCCATTAGATTATAATAAATGAACTCATTTATTAAGTACTGTCATAACAACATTCTCCTTTCTGCTTTTCAGATGAGAAAGAAGTGACTCAGAGAGGTTAACTGACTTTCCTAAGATCATACAACAAATAATCTGATTGGAACTCAGTTCAACACAAAGTCTATGCCCTTAACCCAGTCCCTCTAAAGTAGAGCAAATGCCTTAACCTCTCTGAGCCTCAGTTTGTGTTCTAGTTATCTACTGATAGGGAGCAAATTAGTCCAAAACTCTGTAGCTTAAAACAATGACAATCACTGACTATTCTCCCTCACGGTGCTGGGCTTTAACTGGGCTCAGCCAGGCAATTCTTACTTGGTTTTCAGCCAGTGGCTGCGATGGACTCGTCTTGAAGGCTTCCTCACTCACGTCTGACAGCTAATGCTGGCTGTCAGCTGGAACATTCCACAGAAGTGGAACTTGCTAGTTCTTAAGAACAGAACTGTGAGTCTGGCACATCATCACCATCACTGTATTCTGCTGATCAAACAGCATGCCAGAGTCCAGATAAAGGGGAGAGGGTATAGATACCAACTGTCAATGGGGCCAGGTTTTAGAACCCTCATTCCTATAAAATCTGCAAAATAGGCACAACTACACAATGAAGACCTGTTGTTTTTGTCAGCCCAAACCTCCCTTCTTCTAGCAAGAGAATTCCTATCTTCCTTCTGGAGGTTCTCCCCTCCCCCTCCACACTCAGGCCCTGCGGCCATGCTCTGCCACCACGGAGAACGAGGCCCATAGAGGAAGCAAAGCTGAGGAATAGAGAAAAAGATTCCTGATGACTCCTGAACTCCCCTGACCCATGGAGTCTGAAAGACTATCCTCAACCGTTAAACCTGTGAAACAATAAACTTCCTCCTGCTTAAGCCCGGAAGTTGTAGCTCAGTTCTAAAACGTGTAACCGAAAGTTCACATTACATAGACCTAAAAGGTGGTTACAGAGATTAAATAAATATGAAATGTGCCTTTTACACAGCAGATATATAGGAAGTGGTTTACTGTTGTATGGCCATAGCTGTAAGGATCTGTATTAGCCCAAAGTTCATCAGTGGCCCACCTGGAATTCAAACCCAGGATGTCTGTCTTAATCTTTTGCCCAGCTCTACCTTCCATATTTCTGTGGTCTTGCCAGATGGTTCACTATAAAGTACGTAACATCCTGATGGGACAAGAGATGACCTGGCCAGCTCTGGCTAATACTGGACACTCACATACACACATGTCAACTCCTCACCCATAAAAAAACATGATCAAATTATCATGTTACTATTTCTTAGGAGTCTAAAAACTATTAAAAACTCCCAAATCCTCAAAAAGCACTCCAGCAGCTGCTACTAAATATTCTGAATAGCAAACGAAATGAAACCTGAGAGGGATTAAAAACAAACTGTGGCCCTATTTTTGAAGCTCCTCAATTTAAGAGGAGTTCAGGCTTAGCCGTGTGACTTGCTTTGGCCCATAAAAGCTGACAAACATGACCCAAGCAGGAACTTGAAGAGCTCTTAGGTCTCAGGGCTTACCTGGTCTTGCCTGCTAGATGCCGGGAACATACGTCCTGTTGTCCCTCCAACCACTTGGCAAGTGGGTGAGATTATCTCTCCAGCCGATTACCACTTCAGCCACATCGAAGCCCAGATGAGGTAAGTAGAAGCCGCCCAGCTGAGCACAACCCAAATTGCCAAGCCACTCAATCAGAAGCTAATAAATGTTATTAAGGGTACTAAATTTTGGAGTGGGTTTGTTATACAAGTTAATAACTGATGTAAGGCCCATTTACTATCCCCGATCTAGGCCAAACCCTCATACAGATGAGGAAACAGAGACCTAGCAAGGAACAAGACTTGCCCAGGGTCACAAACCTTACTGGCAGCAGTACAGGGAGGAAAGCCTTGACTCACAATCCAGTAAACCCACTGATTGTGATTATTCCTTCAACACAGCTGCCAGGATCACAAATGAGGCTTCAGATCTTCAGAACACCTAGGAAATACAAGTCTTTTGGGCAGAATCTGGTATCACATTCTTTCATCTCCTTTTTGTTTTCAGAGATTGAACAGATAAACAAAAACTGATGAGCAATGGAAAGGGAGAGATGTTCCCCTGCTCCAAACGTGGGGAGGATGGGCAGAGGTATGCAGGGTTTTGTGGATGTGAATTTCCCACTCAAGCTCTCCCATGGGTTATGTAGTTCTGGAGCTTTTCTGGGGCACCAGGATGGGTATCTCAATCTGTCTAGGATATGTTCTGATGCCAGGGGGATTAGGCAGGGCCTCTGAGTAGGACAGATGCTTCCTGCCCTGGAAGTGATCTTCCCTGCTTTTCTGCCTAACGTACTACAGAAGCCCACAGCCCCTCCTGTTCTACCTGTCCCCCAAGCACTGCAAAGTGAGTGCCTTGGTCAAGCACTACTGAGTAAAGGGTTATAGAGTCTGACAATGTTACTACAGTGCAAGGGGCACAGAGCACTAGGCTCTGGGGACACAAGAACCTAGTGCCACCTCTCAGTGTGAAGTCCACAAAGGTCCAAAACCCCTTCTTTGCACTCTGCCCAAGTTCCAGTCCAGGGCAGTGTACAAGGTAGGGACATGAAGACCTGTTATGTGTATGCAAGTGGGTCACTGGGTCACTAGAACTTGGCTCTGGCCTTCTGAGCAGCAAGGACAGACTGAGCTCAGGACTGGATAGGTATGTCCCACTGAGGCCGCTTCAAAAGAGATGGGACACTCCCTGTAGACCTAGCCCCTTCCACTGGACACCTTCCTTAGCTCTCCAGACTGAAACCTTTTGTTCTAAGTTCCCAGGGGCTATTTTTCACCCCAGGTCTGAATCTCTCAGACTGCAGGCCACAGCCTCTATCCTCTTTCCTTGCTGCCCAGGGTCCCTGGCAGGCACACATAAGGGGACTGAGATCCCACCGGGCAGCTAAAGCTCCAAAAAGGCAGAAACACTGCTCCACATCATGCTAAGAGGCAATGGCCAGCAGCGATGGGGGCATTTGACACAGCTGTGGGTCCAGAACTCTGGCTGCCTTGTGGGCTGGCTAGTCAGGACCCTGCAGAGCTTGGGAACACAGAGCCGCACTCAGGCTTCAGAATGCTAGCCTGCCAATGGCAAGCAGGAGGGCTGCCCAGGGAGGGAGCCAGGAGACAACAAAGACTTTCCTGGGTGACTCCATAGCCAGGGTAACCTAGCCCGAGCACGGTCTCATGCCCATCCTCTATCCTCCACCAAAACCTGGAGCCAATTACAGGGGAGGTTTGACGGAGACGATGCTGGAGAACTGCTAGTGTGAGATGGATTTTCAGTAAGGACTCAGGCATGCCTCAGACTCTGAGGAACCTATAAAGATGAGGGAGAGCCCAAACCCCACATTTGTGATAAAGGGACCAAATTTCCTGTTTTGGGCAACTGCCTGGAAGAAAGAATGAACAATTTCTGAAGAACAGTAAGCCAATCAGAAATACTTCTCAAAGATGCCAGCACTAGAAGAGCAGTTTGAGGAGGAGTGGGTATTTCTCAGGTGGAGAAAGTAGAAACAAGAAGAGTACATGCCAGACTTTGAAACAAAGCTCCAGACCAGAGAGACCAGTCCAAGTGGCCACACCTTTATGACCCAGTTCAGAGGGGAAGGTACTCATAACCTAGGAGTGACTCAGAAAGACCCGCCACAGCAGGTGATCTCTCCTGGAAATCTGAACAAAGGGAATTCGCTCAACCTGTGGGGGTGAAGTTAGGACAGAAGTGGAAATCTGAAGGAACATCACCAGTTGTCAGAGAACAGAGCAAACACCTAGACAGGTGACCCAAGACAGGTAGAGGGAGGCACAGCTCTTCTGATGGCAACCTCCTATTGCTTGAGGTCAACGGGACTGGCGCTCCATTCCTTGCTGCCTAGGAGAGTGAGCGACCTGTTCTCAGTCGGCCAGAAAAGAGAGGTGGTAACAAGGGAGAGGAGAGGCCAGGGCATATAGATCATGTACGGGAGTTGGGGTTTTGTCCTGATGGTGAGCAGTCAGGTAAGGGTTTTACAGGGAAGATACAGGACTCAGATAAAGCACTGGGAAATGGGGCAGGGAGAAGCTAGGGACTGGGAGGCCGGTGAGAGGACAAAGCCCGAGTGAAAAAAAATACTGCCCTAAACTAGGACAGGGAAGGAGAAGAGGTGGACTCTAGAACCATCTCAGAGCTGGGAAAAACAGACTTGAGTGAGAAGCTGAAACCTGGACCTACCGCTGCCTAACCAAAGTGGGTCACAACTGCCTGACACTTAAGCCACTGAAGTATTCTCTTGGGGAAAGGGACATCTGACCCTCCCCAACAACCTTATTGGCCATTTTTATCCCCATTTTAGCTGTGGAAACTAAGACCCAGACAGACAAGTATTAGGCACCCTAGCCAAAGCTCCCTAGCCAGGAGGAGTGAGGGAGGGAAAAGAATGGGGTGAAACAGACTAGACCAGACTATGGCTGGGCAGGAGGGCCCAGGTACCGTAAGAAAACACAAACCATCCCACCTCAGAGCAAGTTGGGATCCAATCTCTTTATTGTCAGGGTACCCTCCCTGTGACCCTCCCCTCTCCAAACCTATAGAAAAACCCCAAGCCTGGGAGTGTCCTAGGAGGGGAGGTAGAGTGTAGGGAAACCTCTGTGCTCTGCCCTGTAGCCTGGGCAGTGCCAAAAGGGAGGGCACTTGGGAAGGGGAGGCCAATAACTCCACCTGCAGAGGATGTGGCACTGGCTGGGATGTGTGGGGGAGGAGGTGCCTGCTGCCAGCTCTCCTGGGACCCGCTGGGGGTAGTCTCCAGGGGTGGGTGCCCAGCTTTAGGCCTGGTACAGTGCATGCCCTTCTCCTGCCGGTGGCCATCACTCCTGCCAGGCTGAGAAAGAGAGAGACAAAGGAGAGACTGAGGCTGAGAGGAAGAGCCCCCAGTACTCTTGATAACTAGGGTTGGGAAGACCAAGGGGAGAATGGTGTTTGCTGTTAGCAGACAGACACATGCCTGCACTCTGGCTCTGGTCTTCTAATTTTCTGGATATGCAACTTTGGGTGAGTCCCTCCCTCTCCCTGAGCCTCCATTTCCTGACCTGAGCCCTGCATCTCATCTGTGAACTGGCTTCACAAAGTCCAACTTAGCCTCTTCGGCAAAACAAACCAGGAAGCTCCCAGAGGATAGACTATAGATACAGAATTTCCTAAACTGTCTGCTGGTGGAGCATCTTACAGCATGGATGTGTCTTACTTACGCAAAGACACCTATGCTACTTTGAGACCTTCCGCCACCCAAACCTGTGTTACCGTGAACACGGCCCCCAAAGGAATGGGGCAGAGCAAGGTGGAGGACACGGCCTGAGAGCAGGCTGCAAGGCCACACACCCCTGGACTCAAATCTAGGCTCCACCAGATTACCACCTTGGGACTGGTGAGACACGTTACTGGCCTGCCCCTCTCAGTGCCTCAGACCCCACATCTGGTACGCCGGCCCCATCACAACCTTTCCTCCCAGCAAGATTAAGTCCCAGCCCCTAAGCCCAGCACAACCAACCCTCTCTGATGATGAACAGCTGATAAGGAACTCGCTCTGACCATGCAGAGCCGAGACTACCGCTGCAGGAGGCTCCTGGCTGACTCCCACATACTGAGGACCACCCGAGCCCCTGAGCTTGGCTAAAGCTGTTCCCTCAGATGCCTCTCCCTCAACCCTCAACAGGCTCAACTACATATTATCAGCTCTTCCACCGCATCCCTCTCTGACCTCCTGGCTCTCTAGCCCCTCATGAGGCTCACACTGGTAACGGTTTGTGTCTTCCCTCAGACTCGGAGCTCTTCAAGGGCAGAGGAGATGGGCAACACGCCCGGAGTGCACCGAGGGAACCCCTGCAGGGCTGGACTGGCTAGCCCATCCATGGCTGCTGCTCCCACAGCCTACCAAGCTCCCACCACAAAGGAGCACAGTAGAATGGCTGAGGATGGGGGAGGCTTCCTCAATGGGCATAGCACGACCCTGACAGGTCTGTTTCACTTCACCCCCGTCCACCTGGACCCCCGTACCTGCTTACTGCAAGGCCCCATCCTCCGCGTCTGTGTCCTGGCTGTGCTCCTGATAGGGAGGAGGCAACAAGAAACCATTCATCACTCACTCCCAACTCTGAGTCGTCCCTGGGGGCCCAGAGCACATCTGGAGGCAAACTCCAAAGAGGGATAGAAAGCCAAGGGGAATAATTATGAACAGTTTCAACACAGCTGGCTTGGAATTCCGAAAGGATGGTCTGGGGACCCCCCAGAAGAGAGAAGGGACCAGTCAAGGATGTTCTAGCTGCAGCAGAGGACACATTTCTGCATAGAAAGACCTTCTCAGACTGCAGCGGGCTGAATGCCTAGTAGACTGGTGAGCTCCCCCATCTTTGGGGCATCTAAGCCTTTGTTAGGGTCTTTATAGAGACTGCTATGTCTAAGAGAGTAACTGGGTCAAAAAAAGAGAGATGAGGTAGGGGCATGAGGAGGAGGACCTCCTAAGTATGGTGGCTTCTGTCCTCCTGCCAGGACCAAGCACTGATGAAAAGGATAAAGTTCCAGACCTGGTGAAGAAGTCTGGGCTTTAATTCTGGCTCAGCCCTTATTATTTATAAGGCCCTGAGCAAGTTACTCTACTCTTCTGAGTCTGTTTCCTCACTGGGTAAAAGCTGGGAAGAGTAATACTTTGCACAGCGAAAGGCTGTTAAGGTTAAATGAAGTCAGAAACTACAGGGCCTGGTGCTGAGTGCCTTTAGGTAAATGGGCAGTAAGCACACAACAATTGTCTTACACACTCAGAGTCTGGTCTACCTTGCTACTTTATATAATAATAAAGCTCCTTGCCAATGGCTTCCCAGTCTCACTCTGAAGAGTTCCAGTAACAGAGAGCTCCCTCCATGACTCCATGCCTCCCTGCCCTTCTTTCATACTTGAGCAGTAATGGCTTTTAGAAAATCCTCAGGTAGGGTAGATACCCAACCTTCCACTGGCTTCCCTAGGCAATCCCAGTCCTGCCCTCTGGAGCTCTGCAGACCGTGTGCACTCCCTTGAGCCCGATTCCTCCCTCCTCCAACCTGTTCGGAAACTGAATCTAGAATGGGCTCTGGACTGAAGAGAGGTCTACCTCAGGCCTCAGTGGGGCTTTGGACTGGCAGCTGAAATAGGCATTCCCCTGCTCTTCTTCACAGGGCTAGAACCCCAGGGAAAGAGGAAGGAGGGAGCTCACAGGGCCACCAACCAGCTCAGAGGCTCTGCTCTCCACTCCCCCCACCCACTGCCCTCCTGCAAGCCCCTGTTCTCCGTGCCCTCACCAGTTCTTCCTCACTGTGTGTCAGCAGCCCCTCCTCATCGCCGTCGTCTCGAGTCTGTGCTTCTCCCTGGGGCGTGCCTGCCTCAGAAGCCGTGTCCTCTTGAGGGGCAGGTGGCCGGCTGCTGCCACCACTACTACCCCCACCACTGCCACTGCTGCTTTCGCCCTTCTTCTTGCCATCTTGAGGGGAAAAGGGAGGGAAGAAGGGAATAGAACTCAGCCTGGGGCAGCTGCCCAGGGCAGTATCTTACTAGAAGCTAGGGCTCATTACAGTGGATCCAGGTGGCACTGACAGCCACAGCCCCTCTCTCTGCCCTATGCACTGTCCTCCCCACACTCTGCCCTCTGCTCACTGAGCTGGGCAAAGACCCTTGGAAGCTGACCTGGGTTGGCCTTCTGCTCCTCAGCAATCTGCTCCAAGCGGCCCAGCAGAGCGTCGATGTTGGACTTGATCTGTGTCAGCTCTGTCTTGATGGTCTGCAGCTCACTGCTCTTTACTGGGAGTGAAGGGAGTAAAGGGCTGTCACCCAGGGGCTGGGAGCTTGACACTAACGTAAGACCCCAGCCCCATTCAATCAACTAGGAAGGCAGGCCAGTGGCAGGAACTGTCCTCACCTGCATTTCTTTGGCCAGGGAAAAGGCTAGAGCCGTCTGAGGCCATGACTACAGTAACCAGCTGGCCTTTCTGAACTTGGGACCTTTCCCCTGACCTCTCAACTCCTGAAAGGGACTGGAGACGGAGAAGAGTGCAGGTGTGTGTGCACCTGAGCAAGCTTATGTGTTTGTCTTCGTGTTATAGGATGATGCCCAGATTTCAGGTGTATAAACACAGGTCTTTTACCATCAGATTTTCTGGGTTCCTGACTACGGCCATGTGTACACCAGAATGAATGTGGAGTAGTGGGCCTGTGCAAACTTGTCCTTACTAGAGGAAAGGTGACAGCTTCTCCTCACTGGGTTCCATGTCACAGCACTGGACATTTCTGTGTCCAACCCAAGCCCCTCCTCCTCAAAAGTCAGCCTTTTCCTCTTAGAAATGCATAAAAATACTCACTTGGTTGTGTCAGAGCAGCAGAACTGTGGGAGATTTGTTCCTTCATCTATTTTCCAATGTAAAAATATGTGATTCTGTTATTTTGCTAATAAGAAAAACAAAAAAGATCTAGGAAGATCTAGTCACTCACACTTGATCTTGGCTGAGCTGGCAGTAATGGCTGTGGAGCGGGCAAAGAGCTTGACAGGTATGGTGGTTTTGACGCGCCGGACCAAGGGGACTGTGACCCGGGGTCGCTTCACAGGGACGGCCCTGGGCACTGGCACAGGTGACAGGCGGCCCCGATAGTCGAAGAGCCTGTAGGGGCAAACGGGCCAGAGGCTGCAGCATGGCCTGTGGCCACCAGAGGGCATTGCGACTCTAGACCAACATGGGGCCGGTGGGCAACCTGTGCTACACACTTCTGCCTGCTCTCAACAAGTCCTGGGGGGTTAAAAGGAAAGGCTTTTCGGACCTTAAAAGCTGCTGGGAGTCTCATTCCATCCACCCTTCCTGCCAGTCAGGTAGGGTAAGGGCATGTGGGTGGTAATGGTTATAGCCCCAGTTCAAGAAAGGAGCCAACTGAGATGACCCCCAGAAAGAAGCCTTCCCTAGATCTCCTGTATTACCTGACCCAGCTTCTGCTCAGTCAACTGCCACCTCAACCTCTGGTCAGAGTTTGCAAATGTCCCTAAACCAATGCAAATTGCCAGCTGGGAACAGAAAGATATGGGAATGGGGAATCCCTAAGTCTGCCAGAGCCTCAGTTTTCCCATCTGCTTCATGAGGATGGCTCCAAATTCTGTGCCAAGCCCCCATCCCTCCCAAAGGCTGCTGTGAAGGCAGAGAATGAGAACACTTGGTTAAAAACACATGTTAAAAGGTGTGATAGGTGGAAGGCCAGGGTACTGAGACTCAAACCAGGAGTCTATGATCTCAGGGGCATGAGAATGGAGTCCCAAGCCCTCATCCTCATTCTGGGCTCCCTTAATCACCCCATCCCTCTAGTCTACTTCAGAGATGGAGGGGAAGAGATCGGCAGAATATCAAGGTTCGGCAGCTCAAATCGGAGCCCTGGGCTCCAAGACTATAGACTGGCCCCGATGTCAACACACAGCCCTCTCCAAGAGGATTCTTAATCCTGCCCATCAGGTAGAAGCTTGTAGGCTGAGGTGGGGGCGGGGGGTGTCTCTCGCACCACATCTGCTACTATTACCTTTCTGCAGGAAACAAGCAGCCTTAGGGGTACACCATGGGTTCACTTTTGAGACAGCCAGAAAACATGCCATCCCTAGGCAATTCAATGTCCCATGGCTTGGCACTCATTTATTGAGAGTGCCCCTGCCTTGGGGTGGTGATGGCTGGAGATGAAGAGTCTCTGGGAATGGATCCAGTCCCGGACCCTGCATTTCTGCCCCTAAGGGGAGGGGGCGGCTCTGGCCTTGGTCAGAATCACTGAACCACAGAATCCCAGAGCTGGAGGAGCCCTGAGGGATCACTTGGTGCAAAAGCCCATTTCAAGACTGGGAGGGCATCTGCCCAAAGTCACACAATCCATTCAGTGGCAGAGCTGAGATTAGCACCCAGGTCTTCTGACTCTCAGGCTAGGGCATGTTCCACTACACCGTACTATCTCCTGAAACCATTCAGAGGTGAGAAAACCAAGGCTCTGAGAGGTTCTGTTCTTCCTTCCCATGGGCCAAGCAGGTGAGAGGAAGAGAGGGAGGGAGGAAGAAGTTTGGAACAGCCTCATGATGATTCAAGATCAGCCTCAAGAATGTGGCTGCTGCCATGGAATGGAGCCCACAGCTCAAGGCTGGGGTCTGATGAAGGGTGGGACATAGGCTGCCGGGGACTAATTCAGACCTCCACAGGACCGCTGGCCTCTTGGCTATAAATGAAAGGCCAGGGGCTTACACTGAGCTCTGAGGTCCCTTCCACCAGGTTGAGCACCTCCAGTAGGTAAGGAGAGTAAATAGCAGGAGCGTGAGGGCTCAAACTCCCTGCCTGCACCTACTCCTGTAACCTGTTCTGTAATCCAACGTACTATGTTTTCATGTCCCTTGCTATCGAGTCCCACCCTAGGATTAGGAGGAAGAAGGGCAGCCCGAAAGCGGGAAACAGCATGAGGTGGGGGAAAGCTCTGACCTGGGCACCTGCAGAAGTAGACCCTAGTCCCAGCTCTGCCACCCATTTGTGAAGCAGCCTTGGGCAGATGCCTGTCCACACCTGTGGGCTCTAGTTCCCACTTGGAGGACTGAATGGGCTGCACCAGCAATCTCTCAGGACCCTTCCAGCTTGGCTGTTTCATGCCTGGGCACGCCCCTCCCCTGCTCACCTGTCGTAGAAGTCGTCCCGGTAGTAATCATAGTCAAAGCTGTAGCCACTGGGGAAACAAAGGGGAGAGGGCCAGGGCTTAGGGACAGCCATTCAGCCCACTCTCCACAGGCCCTCATCTCCAAACGCCTCCCCAAATTCTAGGCTCAGCACACTGTCGCCAACCAGTGTTTTCTCCCTCTGTGCGAAGAGGAACCAATCCCACCCAGATGGAGACAGACAAGACAGAGCGCCCCACCTGTATATGGCAGATGCCGCTCTCTTTAGCCCCTTAGGTCTGTTGGGCTTGGGCTCTCCCGCCATGTTGATATCTGTGTGGAGGGAGGAGGCACAGTCAGGCGCTGGCAGCACATGAGCAGCGATTTCTATGTGCTTATGTGAGGTACACGTGGACTGTCCTAACTAAACGACCAACAGAGGTCTTCACACATTATTCACACCCACACATCACAGAGACAGGCCTATTTACAAATCAATATACATTCAGACACCCGCATGCATGCTCACAAGCGTATCACTCACACGCATGCCATGGACATCACATGCACTCTCAGGTACACTCGTGCACAAAAAGACTTCAAATATGTATCTTCATGTATATCGTCACACGTTCATGTATCCAGGTAATCAAGTCACACACAAAAATTAACAACTATACTCTCAAGTACGTGGAGACTTGACTCCAACATCTATATAGATATATAGATATAGATACAGATATAGGTATATATATGTATGTATATATAGGTATGGAAATCTGTATCTATATGGATATCACATATACATATGTATCACCAAGGCCAAAGGCACTTCACCTTGTGCTCCCAGCCCCTCCTCCCAGCTCTCATGAAAAGTTCTAACCTATGCTATCTATAGCCCAATGTTATAGGTTATGTTAGTCCACTCTGTTCCCTTTTTCTTAGGAATCTGCATTTTAACTGGAACCATAAGAGACAACACAGAAGCAATTCTGAGAAGCTCCGAAATACTCCCCTCTAGGCAGATTTTATGACTACCTAATTTATAACTTACATGTAATTTACAACTATTTAAAAGTTGTAACATTTCAGATAAAGGCAGTGGGTAGTAGCAAGGGAAACAGAAAAAAGGGCCTAAGAAAGAAGCTAGAAAGTCAACGGTGGAACCTGCTCAGGAGAACACCAGGAGCAAGGCCAAGGAGAGACGCTTACCCAGGGTCTGCCCGGCCAGCACCCGCCCATTCTCTCCCAGCACAGCTGCCCGGGCATGACGCTCGTTGGCATACTGGACAAAGGCATAGCCTTTGTGCACAGAACAGCCGGCCACACGGCCATACTTGGAGAAAATGGTCTCCACATCTGACTTCTTCACCACAGCTGTGTTGAGGTTTCCGATGAAGACCCGAGAGTTGATAGACTTGGGGTCATTCTTGTTAGTTACGTTGCTTGTCTGGATCTTCAAGGACATGGTGGCCACCTGAAGAGAGAGAGCCACTGTGAAGCTGGGTCCCCCAGTTGGGCTCATGGGCCACCCACAGCCCACAACCTGGCTGAACGGGAAGGCTTTGCGCCCTGCTACACATACACGCCTATAGCACCCAGCCTCCCCTTTTCATAACTTACTGGACTGCGGACCTCACGGTCCCTCAATTGGTACTGGCAGAAGCAGAACCAGACCAATTCACAAGGGAGAAAATGCACGTTCAGAGGGCACAACGTCAGTGAGCAACAGGGCTAGGATTTGAACCCTGGTCTCCAGAGTCTAATTCTTTTAAACCCATTCCTTCTTTAATGCTTATTGGAAATGTTACCCCTTGCAGGATCTAAATTTGAAGACCTTCCATCATTTTTCTTCTGTTCCTTTAATGTAGAACCATGGCAAAGTCGTCACAGGGAAATTGCAAGTAAAACCTGCTCTAGAACAGTACTACATTATGAAAATTGCTCAGTCTGATCCAGACATTGACCTAGCTTTGGCTGTCTTTATTGTCACCATTTTTTAAAAGGTGAGCTAAACAAGCCTCCCTGAGCACTCACTGCAGGCTAAGGGTGGCACGCAATATTGAGTAATCAGAAAACCCTATAAACAGTATTACTATTGTTGTATTTTGTCAGAAATAGACCCCAGTAAGTTCTTAAACTTGCCAGGAATGAGCACTCAAACCCAGGTCAGTTGGTCCCTACAGCCCATTTTTTTTTTTTTCCCAGTTCTATCACTTTCCTTCCCAGAGCTAAAGCCAATTTAAATACTATAATATTTACCAAGGAACTGTTTTTAATAAATTAATTTTTTAAAGTTACCCATTTTTACTCATTCAAATTTTGTTGTTTGCTTAGGTATCGTATCGTACCTGCTCTTTGCTCTCTACACCCTGGCAATGTCTTTTCCCCAAAGGACTGTACAAATCTCTCCTACCCATGACACAGACAGGTTACATCAGAGGACAAGCTCCAGAAGGGAAAAAGAGGCTTGAAGACAGTAGGAAAAGCCTAACATTAAGTACTGGTATTTATACTTCCTGGACCAGCCTTCCGCTCACTGGCACGGTACAACTCCCTTTTGGAACACTCCTATTTAAATACTCCTGCTGCTGAGCTACTACAGAAGGTGCTGAAGACCCCAAGCAGTAGGGGTCTTTAGCACCAGCCCAAGCTAACCGTGAACACCTGCCTACTAAGCTAATCTTTTTGGGCAGAGGGAGCTTCTTTTCAGAGAATTAGAGCATAGTACAAGTTGGGAAAGCCGTATTTATTGCTCCACTAGGATAAGAGACCCTTTTCTTCCATCCTTCCTGCCTGGAAGCTAGCATGTTCTGACCAGCAGATGGCAATGACTGCAAGGAAACCACAGGCTGGCCCTGAGAAGAATTCTGAAGAAACCTATTCCTATGGTGGGCTTGCAGTAGCTCCACGGATATACTAGGGTCACGTGTGCACCATCCTAAGTAAAAGACAGGGGCTGAGAGGGCACTGCTATTGATGAAAGGGTTGCTGCCAGCTTTGGAAAGGGCCTGGAAGGGACAGACTCTTTTTTTTGTTACTCAGTATACTTCTGCATCCAATCACCATTTATTAAGCAGTGAAGAACACAGAAGACCTCACCCATGAAAACACTTAATACTTACTGTCCATGTGCAGTAGAAAATGCTCAATGTACGTGGGTTCCCCTGGGGACCCCATTGCTCAGTCCTCTCTAATAATCCCTCTCCTACTTGGATGACAAGGCATTCCAATGTTAATTCCTTGTCCATCCATGGACATACACAGAAGTTTGTGGGGCTCCTCCATGGCCATCAGATAACTCTCCTGGCTGGTTCAGCTCCGAGCCATGAGGGGAGGCGTCACCTACTTTGGCTGGAAGGAACCAACCACTGGCCTGGGGTGTAGACCAACATAGAAAGAGAGGGGGGTGATGGTTTAGACCTGTTGGTGACTACTACCTCTGCACTGTCCTGGCAGGGACATGACAGGTGCTAGGTTCCCCAAGACCTCTGTCAGGACCCTCTAATACCACCAAACTGTAAGCATTTGTTAAACACCTGTGTTTAGTGATACAGCAGGATCAGCACTCACTCCTTGGCTGGTGAGTAAAGTTGAGGTTTGGCCATACTCCGTTTTTTCTCTTGTCACCTGGGGTTTGGGACCATGTACAGAAAAGGACTTTGCAAATGGTTAAAGCTCTTTATAGGATCTAATAAATGACTAGCTGAACTTCTCTGTTCTAGTAACACTACCACCAGTAAGGTGGATTCTAAATGAGGGTCAAAATCAGACTGGAGCATTCTGAACAATGCCAAGAAAAGGCAGCCAGAAGCCATGTCACACAAAGGCTACGAAAGAGTATGCCTGTGGCCATTCTGGGTGAGGCATCTGCAGGACCATGAAGGAATGCCCTCCCAAAGCATGCTCCAGGAACCAACCCCTCCCTATCTAATCAGCCCTCTATCTGCTTTCAAAGGCAGTCTCCAAGGGCTGTGTGTGCTGCTATTATGCATACTTCCTAAGCCCAAAGGGACAGCTGTCTGTGGGGATATGAGAAACCTTCTGTGTTTAAACATGTTTATGAGATTCCTGCAAGTGAGGGATCAACTTGGGGGTAAGAAATGAAGAGCATGCCCAGACCAGCTGGAACTGCTAGGTTCAGGTACAGAATCCCGAAGAGTTAAGAATTCTAAATTTGGACACGGTCTTCCAGGTTGTTATGAACCTTAAAATCTGTTAGCTTCACTTACAACCTTCAAATATTTAGACATCTAGTATCTAAGTCTCCATCTGTACTCTTTGTTCTGCCCTGCAACTGTTAGAGGCAAGCCTGATGAAGCCTGGGACACACACAGTAAGTGCCCGATAAGTATTAGGAAGAAAGCAGTAACAATAATGTCCCAGGAGCACAGCCCTACCTAAAGGGGGCGTGGTGCCCAGACCACTGGGGTGGGAGGTCCCAGACATCTCTTAATGAGACTTAATGAGACTAGAGTCTGACCCAAACACCCCCTACCCCCCAACAGACCAACCACCCCCAATTCAATCTTCCCCACACAATTCTTTCTTGGTTTTCCCAGGCTTCCCCTAGGTGAAGAGTAGGAATCCTAGAAAATACTGACGTCCTATTCAGCAGCAGCAGCAGCTTGATTTGATAAGCTATTTCCCTGTGGGCCAAGCTCTGCCTCACAGATTAGCTGTGTAATGGAGAGCAAGGTTGTCTACAGCCCCTAGAGGCCCCATGCTTAGCACTGAACCAAGAAAACGTGGGTAGAGAGACTGTTCTTGGTGGTGGTGGAGAGAGGAAGAAAGAACCAGACTAATCTTCAGAGACTTCTGCAATGTCAGATTAGCAGGGACTTCAGTGAACAAGGAGTTTATAGGCCCTCGCTCTGAGGAACAGAGGGGAATGGACTTGGCCACAGTGCCCCAGCCCATGAGTAGCAGAGCCAAGAATCCCACTGTTCCTTTAAGTCTAGGGTTCTTATATTCCATTTCTTCTTCTGGGAGGGCGAGAGACAACCCTCAGGACAGTGAGGGGCTGGGAGGGGGCAATCCAGATATGCTATATATATATATATATTTTTTTTGAAGATTTTACTTATTTATTTGACAGAGAGAGAGCGAGGTCACAAGGAGGCAGAGAGGCAGGCAGAGAGAGAGGGGGAAGCAGGCTCCCGGCCGGGCAGAGAGCCCAATGCGGGGCTCGATCCCAGGACCCTGAGACCATGACCCAAGCCGAAGGCAGATGCTTAGCCCACTGAGCCACCCAGGCGCCCCCAGATATGCTATTTTTAAGGAAAACTAGGGACTGGCTCCCAAGTATGTGTCTCTACCTTTACCTGCTGGAGAAACAATTGCTGCATAAAAGCTGGGCCCTTAAGCTAATTAAAACCCACCAGAGATGCAGGCTTTGAAATGCAATTTACAGCTAGAAGGGATGGGCTCACTTCTCCAAGCTAATAAGAAACAGAGGAAATCTGGCAAAAACAAATCGTTTTTCTCAGCTGAAACATTTTAGATGGAAGCTATGTTTTAGAAACCAAGAGCCAGCCTGAACATGTGGTAAAGTGACAAGGCTTTCTAAAGGTAGAAAAACGCTAAAAGGTATGACTGCCCCTGAACTCTGGGTAAATGAGACCCCTCAGAGAACCATCAAGGTTAAGAAGAGCCTCTAATTACTCAGTGTCAGACTTTATATATCCAACCTTATCTAATACAACAGCCCTGTGAGGAGGTATTTTAAATATGGGAAGGAAGACTCGGTGAGGCCAGGAGGAAGCAGGACCCCTGCTGAGCAGAGAGCCCGATGTGGGGCTCAATCCCAGGATCCTGAGATCATGACCTGAGCTGAAGGCAGAGGCTTTAACCCACTGAGCCACCCAGGCGCCCCTGAACAGGATTTTCGTGAACAAAACCAGTTTCTATTCTTGATCCAGACACTGTCAGTCTCATCTAATAGATGAAAAGCTGAGGGATCAGCAAGGTAAGTGACTTACTGCAGGCTATCCAACCTAGTAAAGGGAGTAGCTAAGGGACTTGAATCCAGGCTTCTGCACACCATTTCAGCAACTGTCCCAGGCCTCTGGCTCTGCCACGTCAATCCTTTCACCCTCCCAGCTCTGGCTATCAGGTTCGAGTCTAGTCTTCAGCATGACCTCTGAGGCACTTAGCTATCAGAATGCCCACTGCCCCAACTCTGTAGTTCCTCCCTGACGCTGGATCTCTTCTTCTTAAAAACACCAATTTCAAAAGAAGAGAAGCTGCTCTTAGTCCTGATGCCCCCCAGTGACTATTTAAAGCCTCTGTCTAGGCCAGTCCTGCTCAAAAGCTCTGGCCTTATTCTCTAACGTGCAGATGAGGATCACACGAGCTGTGGCCAGACCTCTGCCCTTAGCTAACTCTACAGATATTGGGTCGTTTTGAAGGAAAATAAATACCAGTGATGGTGAGGCTATTTCTGGAGAAAGCCAAGCAATTAGACTGATCAGTGCC